ACAATGATGTAATTAACTTTGAACATATTTAAGTGCCTCTCAAATTATTTAATGAAGATATCTTAAACACCTGGGCATTCAAATGACATTCAATCGGTACAATGAAGTCACTCCAAAATGTACGAGGGTAGAACAAATTGAATGGATAGCCTTTGCAACAATAGGATACTCAGCGAAATAATGGTCACATAGAATCCGACATAGAAAATTAATTTTGTTGAAGCTGAGAACCATCAAGGACATAACCCAAGAAGTAAAAATTGAAGGTTGACTAGGCTCTATTAACTGCACATTCTGCTGCCATTATAGGTTAGTTAAATCATTCAACAACGTGTAGTATGAGTAACATTTTTCTGATTGTTTCAAGAGATTGCCGGCACATGACATTTTTTTTCTGAAAAGGTTGATGCGGTTGGATATAACATAGTTTTGACGTAATTTTTTAACACAAACAGTACCAGAAATAGGACACAGGCTAATAATATTCTGCAGAATTTGAATTTCTGAAACAGAGTATCCAAAGTAAACAATTTCCTCCCAACAAGAGGATTGAGCAAATTTTTTCAATGGTTGAAAATGTATTACCAATTTCAAAACAAAATAAAATATTGACAGCAAAAGAGTAAAAAATATGACACCATTTGCTGAACCTGTAAGAAGTCTCGATACCCACAAGCATTGCTCATTGTTTATTATTACAAGCCCCTATTCAAGTTAACTTGTTAGTAGGTGTGTATGTTAGTGTGGGAAAAATCTTAAAATCGAATCATGAATCACTTAACCTCAACCAATCAAGGTCAAATTTTACATACATGTTTGGATCGCATGCCAATGCATAATAAATTAAATGCCGCCATTTTGAATTCGATAGGGCGAATGCTAGAAAGTTACAGATTATTATTCCCATAGCAATCAGTATAATATGGATATCAAATGAATTGATGAGATAAACACGAGAATCAAAGTGACGTTATTCCAAATCTAATGAGTCGACTGCCCTATGATGTCGATTTTTAATTTCTATAATATCCCCTGTGATTTGAGTATCTAATGAAAGTACCTGAAACAATAAATGAAGTGACTCCAATTTCAATATGGTAGCTGGCGTGAGATGGCGATTTATACTTTCCATAGCAACCTTCATGATATGGGTATCAAATAAGAAGGCTTGAGCGAAACACAATAATTAAAGTGATCTATCTAAAGATAATATGGAGGACGTAATATGACAAGGTAGCTATGGGAACTCTGTGATAAAAGACAAATCGATCAAGTTGAGACTCGTGTGATTATCCTTTACAGGTACTCCAGTCATAGGGTCTGATGATTGAGTTAGTGAAAGATTATGTAAAATAAATACCAATTTATAGTAATCATATACAAATTTTAGCTTTTGAACGTTAGATAGTTTGGTAAAGCATAGGTAGCTTTGATCAATTTATCAAGAATTCTTATAAGTGGCTCGTCTGAATTTAGGTAATATATGACTTATATCGATCAAAACTTCGTAATACGGAGTTTATTTGAAGTTCTATTAATAAAATATATGCAAATTGGACATAAATTACTAAGCTAGTCACTTAGCACCAAAACACTAAAAAGCACAAAATAAGTATGAGAATAAAAATTTTCTGAACAAGCTTCCATTTAAATGTTAATAAAAGAGAATGAAAAATTTAGTCTATCCTTTTTGTGATTGGAAACACGCCGTTTTTTGCTTCTTAACCTTAGCGATAATGAAGCTTTTTCGTCTCAAGTTGTTTTCCATCTTGCCACTAAAACGTAAAACTGTTTTATATACCAACGAATTTACTGCCAGTTCTGATAGATAGTGATTAAGCATTCAATCCTGTTTTCGTGTGTGGTGATCCTAAGGAGGCGCTATGGTATCACTTCGAATAAGAAAGTAGGAACTACTATTTATATTGTTAGGCCAAAATTTAGGTTACTGCTCTTATATCAGGCGACCTGTCAATTGGCGACATAATATTTCGATGTCCGCTGTTTGGGTATAAAAGCATGACTCTTCTGCTGTTGCAGCATTGTTGATTGTGAAACAAAACAAGACGTCGTCTACGGACGCTGGTTACCGAGCTACATTCGCACCCATTCTTAACCTATTATTGTTTCCAAAGCAAACGTCAAACATGAAGCGAATACAATGCGATTCGTCACGTTTACAAACAATACTACGAGACGCTTTTCTTCACGGAGGAAGTCCTTTCAATATGCGTTTTCCGTTAGAAGTGCACCAATATAATGTCTTGAACTGTGCGTGAACCGTATAATGTGTAAACTTGGCACTGGAGAGAGATTGATAGGTTTGATAAAACGTACGAGCTGGTTGACGTAACCTTGTGCAGTTTTCAGATTAAACACGGAGATACTGTGAATGGAAACTCAACCGAACAAGAGAAAAACGCAAACAATGTACATACGTGCAGTACTACATATATAACGCGAAATATTTACAGGGTGTCCAGAATTCGGATTTCAATATCAAATGTTTTCGTAGTCGTTAGGCAGGGGAGCGAGGCAATATTCGAGGAAAACATGATGGTTGGATCAGTGAAACCGATTCGTTTGTGGGTGTCGAGATTGCGAGCAACAGGATCAGCAACAAACAACCCGCATCTTAGCTCTTAAAGAAAATATCGTTCGCGAGGTTAATGCTATCACACAATCTCTTCTGCAGCGAGTGGCGCGAAATACTGAGGCGGGATTTCAAGAGTGTGTCCGACGTAGTGTCATTTAGGTGACATGATTTTCAAGAAACAAAATCCACATTACTCTTCATTATAATAATAATCGAAACAGATGTTTTCCTTTTGCAGTTTTTTTTTTAATTTAGATTTTAAATCCAAATTCTGCCACCGGACAACCCTGTATTAGGTGGTGCTGGCATTCGAACCCACACTTGCAGTATCCCCGGAAACTGTTCAATTATATTCAAGCATATGCATTTGAAACCATAAAGTAACGATTCCACCATCCGTGAAATCCGAATTGCGCCAAGTTCTATAATTATTGTTAAATTCAAATTTCTAACAAACACACAACAATTCTTACCTGTGGAAGAAATTGCGGTCTCTTCCTCCCACTATTCTTCTAGTCATTACAGAGACAACACATTTAGTTTTCTTTCCTCTAGCGGCGTAAATATCAAGAGGAAAATGATTTCAGGCCAGCTCCTTAAACTTAGTCTCAGACTTGGTTTACCCTTTTCGGATCTTTACTTGGACCTTACGACTTGCTTCAATCCTACTCGCGCTCCGATTTGAACCATATTTAAGATTTACTTGCTTGAACACTATTTTACATTCATTTGAGTCACTTACACCTTGACCCTAATATAGAGCTTGCCTTTATCTCATCCAACATCTGAGTTAAGCCTAGGCTACTCCAATCCATACTACTACTCCATCAGCCCTGCTTCAAATCATGGACATCAAGCCTTGATCTATGGCCTATGGCTTCTATAAATTTCACTGGGATTTGCAACGTTATACATTCATTTTTAATTGCATTCTATAATTTGGTTGCCAATACTTAATAGTTTTTAGTGTAACTAAATATAGTTTTCTTATCCTTGTAATAAAAATTCTTTTGGTTAACAATTTATCGTGTTCTGTTTTGTTTTTCTCTCTTCTCGCCATGCCATTGTCAACTTTTGCCTCTGAGATGCTGGAAGCTGGTTATGGCCTCTTTTCTATATGAACTCAGAAGAGCTGGTACATTTACCTTTTTTTCTGGGCAAGCTTAGAAAGGACGGCTATAATAGACTATCTGACGTACAATTCCATTAACTGGATTGGGTGCTTGCTCTCTTCGGCTGATGAGGAATCAATTTATGCATGTTATACAAAGCTTTCTCACAGCATCACATTTAGCCAGAAAGCAGGAATATTTTTTAAAACACGATATAATGAAAGCCAACAAAATTTGCTATAAAAATAGTGTTGGAAAAGTTTTCTACATTTCAAAAACCATACACGGAAACGACTTAAGGTAACTTTCCATTTAAATAAGATTGAATGGCAGCACATCGGCCATATACCGCGCCATGTTGCAGTTCCTTAGAACGACTGGCACATGCTGCGCAACATGCGCCCGGTACAATTACTTCGATATCTGCAGCATTTCATTTGCACAAATCTTGTAGCAAAGGCGGATTTAGAAGGGTGTCTAGGTGAGAGGCGTGGTGGTAGTCGCAGCATTTGCAGGGGGGGGGGTGTCGTTGAATAAAAATGCGATAGCGGCTGAATGCTTAGTCAGTTCCGAGCTAGCAGCCGTCGCGAGTATACACTTGTGCGACTGCGACCCACCCGGACTTACAGTGCGATCTTATTGTGATTTTCATCACGATACGATCGCTATCCACGATGGCCAGAATAGAAAAGCTGACGAGCCAGCTGAAGCAGAAGGAGGACAATTTCGCCATGCTTGCAGAGCAGATGAAAAATCTGCAAGAAGCATTCAAGCAGGCGAGGCAAGAGATAGAGGAAGTGAGGGGGAAGCTCCTCAAGGCGAAGAGGAAAGCGAAGAAGACGGTAGAAGAAGAAGAAGAAGGTGAGGACCAGCAGCCTACGGAAAACAGGGGCAAGGATGCCCAAGAAATCGAAGAAGAAGCCGAGAAGAGGACCGATGACGCAGACTTCAGTGTCGTCACCAGGAGGAGAAAACGAGTGAGAGTTTCCTCCTCCTCCGAAGAAGAAGAACCATCCAGGCAGCCAAAGATGCCAGCTGCCACCAAGAAGAGAGGTCCTAGAGCAGCCAGGACCACCGAGGCCCCCATGGCACGAACAGGAGTTCCTCCAATCAATATCAAGGACACCGCTGACTGGTCATCCTTAAGCAGGATGATCAACAACAAGGGGATCCAATTCTCCAAGGCGAGGACGGCGGGTAACAGTGTGAAAGTGTTCACAAACACCCCATGACTACCGTCAGCTAGTCGCACTGCTGGACTCCATCAAGCGGCCCTTCTTCACCTATCAACTGAAGGAGGACAGCATGGACCAGAGGGTCATTCGTGGACTACCCAGGGAGATGTCAGTCAATGACGTCAAAGAGGATCTAGTGAGCCAAGGTATCGCAGACGCCGAGGTTCAGCAGATGACCTCAAGGACCACCAAGAAGCCACTTCCGCTCTTCCTCGTCAAGACGAAGATGCCGGAAAAGCTTCTAGAGATCCAGAGGCTGGCCATGCTCACGGTCAGCTTCGAGAGAAAGAAAAAGTCTACCGAGCCCAGCCAATGTTACCGCTGCCAGCGGTACGGGTACACACAGCGGAACTGCCGTCTCGCTGAACGGTGCGTGAAGTGTGGAGAGGACCACAGCAGCACCAGCTGCAGTCTGCCAGCGCCGCCAACAGGGCAACGAAATGCCAAGTGTTGCCTTTGTGGAGAAGGTCACCCCGCCAACTACAAGGGATGTAGTAAGGCCCCGAGGAAAGCTGCTGCTGCCCCCAAAGCAGTCCCCACCACAAATAGGACCTCTTACGCTCAAAAAGCGAAGAAACCTATGTCCACTTCTGCCCCAGCAGCCGCCACTGCTACTGGAACTACTGCGCAGAAGCAACACGGCGATGACAGACTGCTAGCAATGATGCAAGCCATCATAACCCGCCTGGATGCACTCGAGGCCAAGATGCAAGACAAGCATTAGACCCGAAATGACTACAGGGCAAAACGTAGAATCTCTACGCATTATCTCCTGGAACATCAACGGATTCAGGGCACGGAAACCAAAAATCCAGGAGATACTAGACCAGTACCAACCAGAGGTGATGGCCATCCAAGAAACGAAATTGGATGCTGCCCATAGTCTGAGGTTCCCGCGGTACGAGACGTACCACTACAACAGAAGAGGCAGAGGTGGGGGAGTCGCATTACTCGTCAAACGTACCTTGACGAGTCATGTCCTCGACGATGCCGCAGACATCAATGGGGACGGAATCACGGTCCAGGTCCATCACAACCACCGTCCCTACAGAATCACCTCCCTATATGTGCCACCAGGCGAGGCCCTAGACGAAGATGACATCGCTGACCTCCTGAGAGGCCCAGGAGCACGCATAGTCATCGGAGATCTAAACTGCAAGTCTCCGGCATGGAACAACAACGTCGAAGACAGGAATGCAAGGCAGCTCCAGGAACACGTCGATGCCCTGGCGGGGGTCATCGTCGGTCCGGAGCAACCAACCTACATTCCATTCGGCCTTGGGCGACCTGCGGTACTGGACATAGCCATCCTCCGCAACATCAGAGAGGAGTTCGAGATAGAGACCCTGGTGGAAGGATCGTCGGACCACAATCCGATCCTACTAACACTTGGCACAGGGTCTAGAACTCGAGATAGCTTGAGCACCAAACGGACGAACTGGAACCTGTACAAATCCAACGTCCAAAGGAACATCACTCAAATTCCAACCATCCGATCAGCGGAGGAACTGGACAACGCAGTAGAGGAGCTGGAGAATGCTGTCCTGCGAGCGCACGAGGGCAGCACCCGCTCCGAGACTACGGCAGTTCCTAGACACCTAAATGGTCCAGCACCGCACCATATTAGGTACCTGATCAGGGAGAACAGAAGACTCAAGCGAGAACATCTCCAGCTGTTGACAGAATAGTCGAGAGTTGCGCGAAACCGAGCATCGCTAGCTCTGAAGAACGCACTCGCGGAACTCCAAAACAGCAGATGGAATGCAACCTGTGCAGAACTAGAGACCCAGGATGGTACGGCCTGGACCATGCAGCGAAAATATCGTCGTCAGCGCACCACGATCCCCACTCTTCACGGCCAACGCGGCTTGGCCTACTCCAGTGAAGAAAAAGCCGAAGCACTCGCCGATTCGCTAGAATCCGAATGCAGACTCAATTACCATGAAGACGAGGACGACAACCACGAGGAGGCCGTGGAAGTCGCAGCCGAAATCATGAGGAGTCGACCTCCTGGCCAGGAGACGGATCACCCCTCCAGTCCAGAGGAAATCCGTCTGATCATCCGCAGGTTGAAGGTCAGAAAGGCGCCGGGAAGGGACGGCATCAACAACAGGATGCTGAAGAACCTTCCCTCCAAAGGCATTGCTGCGCTCACCAACATCGCCAATGCCACTCTGAGACTTAACCACTTCCCGCGGCGGTGGCGGGAAGCCCAGGTTATAATGCTCACCAAGCCAGGCAAGGACCGGAAGTTACCCCAGAACTACCGGCCCATCAGCCTGATTTCCTCGATGGGCAAAGTAGTCGAAAAGGCTATCGCCGTTCGACTAGAGAAGCAGGCAGAAGAACTGCAACTTCTCCCCCCAGAGCAATTCGGCTTCAGATCCTCCCACAACACGGAACTCCAAGCGCTACGACTGACAGAAAACATCACCAGCGGCTTCAATCTCCAGGAGGCAACCGGCCTCGTCCTGCTGGACGTGGAACGAGCCTTCGATCGGGTTTGGCACGATGGACTTATCGCCAAAATGGAAGCCGCCAGAATCGATGCGAACATGTGCCAACTGATCCAGAGCTATCTAACACAAAGATGGTTCACGGTGAAGATTGGTACATGCCACTCAACAAGACGACAGCTGGAAGCAGCCGTGCCCCAGGGGTCAGCCTTAGCCCCCCTGCTTTACAACATCTATACTCACGATGTACCGAAGACAGCTGACACAATGCTGGCCCTATATGCAGACGACACTGCTATAGCCGCCAAGCATCGACGACCCGAGATCCTCCGTAGGAGACTACAGGATGAACTGGACCACATCCAGGACTGGTGCGTGAAATGGAAAATCCGCATCAACGTCCAGAAGACGCAGGCAATCTTCATTCAACGAAGAAGGATTGCAAGACCTCTCGAAGCATCCATCTTCGACGAAGATATCCAGTGGAGCGACAAAGTCAAATATCTGGGGATCGTATTTGACAAGTCCCTCACCTGGAAAGCCCACATAGAAGCTGTCATCGTAAAGACCGGAGCAGCCATGGCTCAACTCTACCCATTACTGGGTAGACACAGCCGGATGCCGCTAGCGACCAAGCTACGGCTGATCAAGGCCATCGCCAGACCTCAGCTCGCTTACGCCTCCGCGGTCTGGGGGTACGCTGCCCCCAGCTACCGCAAGCGACTTGCTGCTCTAGAGATGGAGCTACTCCGGATCGCCACCAGTGCACCATCCTACGTAAGAAACTCAACCTTGCGTAGAGACCTGCAATGGGACACCATTCACGACTACATGAGGAAAAAAGCGGAGAAGACCTTCCAGAAAGCTCAGGACCACCCGAACGAGCAGCTACGATTCCTCATGGACTACGATCCGGACGAGAGGCCTCGCAACCGCAGAACCAGGTACCCTAGACCAAGGTCCCAGTTGGCACCCGCTAACTGGAACCTTGACTAGGAGACTAGGAGAACCCGCGGTTGCTCCCCCCCCCCAACGGCGTGGATGCAGAGGACCAGGAACCACCGGGACCAGGACCCACCGGACCAGGACCAACCAGGACCAGGACCCGCCACGACCAGGACGCACCAATACCAGGACCCTTCAGGACCAGGACCAGGAACAATATATAGGTAAGAGGACTTGAAACTCTTGATTTTTCGAAAACAAGAGTTTCAAGAGAACCTAGCAGACCCTCTATCGATGATCGCTTAACGACATCGATAGAATGTGCGAGGTAAAGGGAACCAACCCGGCGTTCCCAGAGACTGAAACGCATGAGGAGACGTTGTAGCAGACCGCAGGCCACGCACAACACATGGCCTACCGAGACGCTGATGAGTCGGGCCACGCGGAGGTTAGTGTTTAGTGGGTATTAGGTGATTAGGTGGTCTCCTCAAGACAACCTGGAGTCCCACACATGCCGTAGCTCGGGCTATGGTATGGTGCGTAAACGCATTCCCCCCTCACAAAAAAAAATAAAAAATGCTTAGCCATTTAAGCAGCACTTCTGGGAGCAAACGCCTTTCGCACGTTCAAGATTTACGTCTAGCTAAGTAATTTTTCCACCAAAATACACCAATACATACTATTTTCTTACAAAAAATGGCAGACATCATCATTTTCGCTATTGTGTTTGTTGCAGCACATCTATCATTGCATCATCCAAATTCGTAAATTTACGTGCAAAATTATCCAAATAGCAAAAATCTGATAAAACATTTCGCATTTAACATAGGTGTCTTGTGAATGCTCCCCTTTGAGATGAATGTTGAAAATTAACGAAAGGAACCCTTTACGTGATATAGGTATAGGTACCTAACAGACATTAATGCTACCACTATGAGGTACAAAAATATCATAGTTACAGGAATTCGCATTCAAATATCTTTCTAAAAGGGACATTGTCGAGGCGCAAAGATATTCCACACATTTTTACGTCGAGAAAGTAGTAAGTCACTTACTTATACGATTGATGTTCTGCTAATGATTCTGAACGATAACTCAGACGAATGTGTTTACGGGTTTACGCTTTCTTACGTAAGAAAACTATTCACCGTGTTAGTGTACCAATATCACTAGATAATGCTGCGACTATATTTTTCAGAATATATCATAATCATCATTCAGACTGCCTATCGTGTTTGTAATGCCTTTACGTCCTGCTTTACGAAAAACGGTATGTGTGGCTTCTGTCCTCCTTCAGTCGTCAGAAATGTTTTCGAAATACGCATTCCTAATGGAATAGTAGGACTTTTACGCATTTAGTTCTAGAAAGTAACCATAGATTAAATGTCCGACAAATTCAATGAAGTGCGGTGTTGGAATTCAAACATTTTCTTGCAATAAAGCATCAATCAATCAAAAATAAACGTATAAGTCATATTTTGTCGATTTTACGCAAATGTAAACTCAGTAGCAACGTGAATTAGGTCCCTTGTTGCCTTTAGCCCTTCAAAGATCCAAATATTGCTAGTGATGTCTCACCCGAAAATATCATTTTGCACGTTGATTCAAATAAAATTGCTTATTTCCAAGGAAACTTATTTTATCTCCAAGTAATTATTTACAATAATTATTAGCATCTCATTATGGAATACAAAAACATCGCCTAATATTCGCGACTTAGAACTTAAGTAGTGCCTCTAGTTCGAGTTTTAATCAATATCTAATTATGAAACACTGTCTAAACATTATAAATAACCTTGAATTGCTATTTGGCTTGCTTCAGGCAGTAGCAACCTTGCAGGAGGCCCATATAGATGCTAGACTGATTTATTAATAAACATTAATTTGGTTTCTGCGAAGCAAATTAACGCAAATGTGCAGGGGTCATTAGCTTAGACAGTAGTTTTTGTAAATGAAGTAAGTTATTAACTCTTGTTTTCGATATATTACATGACAGTCATAATGAAATTAAGTTTTTGATTTATTGATGATGATTTGGCAAAAAGTCAAGTGGGTCAGCTTGATGCCCAAGCTTCCAGAAGAATTATCATTAAGCATTTTTTAAGCTTTTAAAATGGTCAGACATGTAATTTAATTCCTTTTAAGCTATTTTAGTATGAAACTTTTACGGAATATTGATAAACGTAATTTATTCCACTAAATTAGCTATAAATATAAGCTCCTGACTCCAAATTATACTCGTTATCTCCCCTAACGGATAATTCTTAACGGAATCGTTTCAATGACTTGTTACTCCCCTAACAGGTTATTCTTAATAAAATTATTTCAGTAACTTGCTACTCCCCTAACAAGTTATTCTTAATAAAATTATTTCAGCAACTTGTTACTCCCCTAACAAGTTATTCATAAAATTATTTCAGTAACTAGCTACTTCCTTAACAAGTTATTCTTAATAAAATTATTTCAGTAACTTGTTACTCCCCTAACAAGTTTATTAATAAAACAATCTTGACTATAATTTTTTAGTTTATTATAGTGAAAATTAAAATAAGTTTCTATAGAAAATTATTTTTATACAAAAATAAATTTAATTTTTAAAATTATTTTTCTTTAGAAATAATTAATGATAATTTTTAATTCTTTATTATCCTTCTTTTAATTAAACAAAAAATAAATTTTAACGGATAATTTTGATAGAATTAAAAATTTAAACTAATTTTATTAATATTAAATTTATCAATAATTATACTAATCAAATTTAAACTATTAATAAATACACTTTCTTAAATAAAAAAATTAAAAATTATTATTTTAAGCCCAAAAAAATAATAAATAATTTAATGCTACAGGTAAATAACTTTTCCAAGCTAAATATATCAACTTATCATAACGAAACCGAGATAATGTTCCTCGAACCCAAATTAAAAAAAAAATAAATAAAAACTAATTTTAAAAAAATAATATAGTAAAAATATCCCTCCCGAAAAATAATATACAACAAATTATACTTATGAATAAAATTCTCCTATATTCAGCGAAAAAAATTATTGCAAATCCTCCTCTTCTATATTCAACATTAAACCCAGACACTAGTTCAGATTCCCCTTCTACAAAATCTAGAGGAGTCCGATTAGTTTCAGCTAAACTTGAAACTAGTCATATTATAGATAAAGGCAATAATAAAAAATAAATCAAATCTTAGTCTGATACTTCATAAAATCTAATATATTAAGTCTTAAAATTAAATATAAAAATTATAACAAAGCTAAAGCTAAACTTACTTCATATGAAATTGTTTGAGCTGCGCTCGCAAACTTCCTAGTAAAGCATAATTTGAATTAGAAGCCAACCTGCCAATATTACAGTATAAACACCTAACCTTGAAACTCTCAAATAATATTGACAAATTAAATCTTAAATTAACAGAAAAAAAGGTATACAAATCCACAAAAACAAAGATAAAAAATATTTATTACAGGAGAAAAATAATATAAATTAAAATTTGATATCAAAGGAAAAGTTTGCTCTTTAGTAAATAATTTAATAGCATCTCCAAACGGCTGAACTAATATACCAACTTTATTTGGTCCTTTACGAATATGAATATACCCTAAAACCTAAAAACAAAGTAATTTTTTATTCATGAGAAGCTGTTCAAAAGAAAATCAGAACGTTAAACTCATCCTTGGGTGGGTTGTGGGATCTTGGTTTTGGGTAAGTTTTAGATATCTTAAGGATTTATTCCACGAAAAGACACGAACTTGTTATTAAATTTCTGGTGGATTATAATCCAATCCCCAACTCTTATATCATCGATCATAACGTGTAGAGTATGAAATATGTATAGTGAAATTAGATAAAAAAGCTATATCTGAGCTCAAAAAAGGGTAGTCAAGCAAAGTAAATGGCATTTGAATGGGTAAAGCTTCTAATTTAAGATGATTTCGAATTTTTTTTTTTAGAAAAAAATTATTTGTCATGCTACATATCCTCAAATATAGGCAAAAATCGCTGCTTTTGCATCTCAAGTTAGGATATCTCAGAAACTAATTTCAGAGGTATGAATTCGGATTCAGCATATCAAAAACCTTCGGGAAAGTATACTCTGGTTTCTGGGTAAAAATCTTGTCGTCCTGACCTGTTGGAAAAAATGTATGATGCATTTTTCATAACTACAAATATCGGAATGAAGAATAACTGCAGAAGAGGCATTTGTTTCTGTTTCAGATGACATGTTTAACAGCAGTACAGAATACGCTTTATCAGCACAGCATATCGTGTGGCACTACCCCATTGGTTAGGGGTAAGATAAATACGCAATCAAAGCTAATTGATGTTAATGCTGGAAACGCTAACCGCGCAATTTTTCCATTTCCCAGATAAGTAATCAACTGTACGGTGAACGCTGTTTGTCTACGTCGATAAGCAAACTGCTGCAATACAACCATATATTGTGCTTATCAACCGAAACGCAGTGCCAAAAAAGGTGAACCACAGAGTATTTGAAATGAAGCTCTTTCTGGTTTTGTTGCTATTATAATATCAATATAATAAGCCCTGTGTATTATTTCCAGGAAAGGTATTTTTGTAAGTTCAATGTCAGGTCGTTACCAACTGAGTTTAATGATAACTTTTCATTTGACCCTCATCTTCAAGGCAATTTCAAGTTTAACTTTTGTTTCTACACCAGCAATCAAAAGGACGGCCTGGGAAAATTGCTAGAAGTGAGGTAGGCGCATTGATGACAAAACTCGTTTTAGCAACTTAATAAGGATTGTAATGGTAACCTTGGACTCAATCTTGAACCTCACCTTCAAAGTCAATTTCAATGTCAATTTTGTCTTCAACTGGGACTCTCCTCCTTGGCAATGAAACATTTCACATTCTGATACAAAGTCAGGTGTTACCTAGAAAGGGTGAGGCTTAAGGAAAAAATCAAGTTTATCATTCAACTCGTTCAATGTTAGCCAGAGAACTAGCAGAGGTATGGAGTTCGATGGAAATTGATGGATACTGCAAAGAGCACTACAATTTTTTTGGGTGCAAGAAAAAATCATTTTTTTTCGGTGATCTTTGACAAGCTGTATTTCGGTGAAAATGGTCGTATCTAGACTTTGAAAAAACATTTTGAAGCTTTAAGATTCTAGTTTTCAGGTTTTTTAGCTGAAAAATTGTAGGAGCAACAGTTCTTATGCAATTCTAATACGAGATAGCGCAAAAAATGTCTTGCAAAAAAGTATGTCTGTTTTTTGGAATATCCCATGAATAGTTTTTTTTAATTGAAAGTGTTACAGATATCCAATAGTGACAACAAAAAGAGAAAAGTGATTTTTCCATTTTCAAGCAGATTACAGGATACAAATATTTTGCTGATCTCTTTCTAATTTTGACTAATTGGTCCAGAGAAACCATACAATGGATCAATCTGCCGTCATGCAGGGTTAGGTTAGGGGTACATTGAGGTATAAAAAACCTAAAAACATTGGCCCTCTCATTAGCAGTTCCGAAATTATTGTCGATTTTCCAAAACAAAGCAAAAAGCAACTTTTTCTGACGTCTTTAAAATCAACACTAAGGAAACAAAAAAAACCCTCAAAGACTGCTATCAAAGTTATCGAGCTATTAGTGGTCGATGGCATTCTCATTAATTGAATTTGTGACCCAAGTGCCTTTTTACGCTCCGGCTTAGTAGAATCCGGCCTTAGTCACACTGTTTTATCCTACTCTGCTATATAGTCGCTCCCGTCCTCTAAGTTTGGAAAACATATAAAGCATTTGGCGTAACCAATAGATTAAGCTAGCTGTTGCGTATTCAGACATGTTGTTATCGATTTTAAGAATCGTCACCTGTTAATACCCGAAAAGCGTCTCAGATCTATCAAAAGATTACGTTCGCAGGCGTTAATGCCCGTTTAAAAATCCCTCTCACGTCCATACAAGGCCTGTTTTTAAGCAGACGCTGATACGAATCAAAATTATTTGAATTATGAGCTCAGTACGTGATAAAAAGTGTAAACATATGGTTAGACACGCCAATGTTGCCAGCTGCCAAACCAAAATATACAGTATCGGTAGCTGTAGTTAGTATAATGAAACTTATTCCTATAGTTTTGTTTGTTTACTTGAAGGCAGAATTCCTGGTTAATTCTAAAACCCGACTTCTGTCCTGAAGGAAATGAGGAAATAGCAAGAATGCCAGGCCGGTGGAATTTTCTCAGTATTTTTTTAGTACAACTTGAACTCTGAATTAACCATGAATTAACGTGTACTCGGGCTGTTGTTTTTGTAATTTTGGCGGCTTTCAAGTTTCCGAAACACATTTGCTAGGAACAAGGCCAAAGTTACACCTTAGCAACGTACCTATCCATGAAAACATGCATAACATTGTATTGTTAACTTTGTCATTGTTCGAAAATATTTCGATTGACAAAACCTAGCTTACAGCAGACTGTCAACAAGCAAACCTAACTTCATATCTTTCTATGTTAACAGGTGTTTATTTTTTTTGCATTTTTGTTATGTGTGTGGAAAGGTCGATGAGTGGCAACAGTGTAACAGTATGGCACAGTGAACTTAAACCGCGAATATTTTTTTCGGGGTAAGTAAAAAGATTCGGTTGCGTATTACATGATATATCAGTTGGCTTTTAAGAAGCGAAATTTGATACTGTTGGAGTGGTTTAGTGTAATGAGGGTATAAATCAACTGCCGCCAAGTCTGGTTGCATATGATTTATGGTTTGGCTCAATGAGCCAATGCTTGCCCGGTACTTGTTATGATTTTACTTTTGACAGTAATAGCTTGAGAAATAAACTGGGAAGACTTTTGAAATGTAGATGTACTTTTGGTGTTGTATGCCTTGTGTAACCCGGAACCCTCTTTGCAATCGTTTGTATCACAAAGAACAAAATCCAAAAACAGATCAGGAAGCGTAGAGCTGAAAACTAGATTGTTGCATTTATTAAAATATGTTCTTCCAATTGACATTTTATTTAAATTGAACATTATGACTGATCTGGAAATATCATTTCGTCAAGTTACAATTTCTGGACAAGAAGTACGCTGTTGGCTTATACCATAGATTAATATATTCAAGCTAAAAATAGTCAACCTAATACTACGAGACGCTAACCTATTTAAAAACATCTTATAATAGCGGAAAGGAGAAATATTGCTGTCTAAGAATCTCATAGATGACGGTACGGTATCTCATTTCGACTCGGATAATCCTCCGGACCCGCTAATATGGTAATAGTTTAGAATATGTTAATTAATAATCATCCCCAGCTTAAGCTATCAGATGTACCGTGTTGAGATTGTTTGATTTAATTTCATATGATCCACCCTGCATTTACTTGAAGAATTGATATAAAGCATTCGAAACTCGTACTGCTGAATAATATTATGTTCATTGTCATTTATCGGTTTAGGCCGCAATACAATTTCCGCGAAACAAACTACGATCAGAATAGAACGACCATTTCAGGTAATAAATAATGTGTATCGTTTCCAAGTATAAATGGTTATGCAATAAGCATGTTTATTCATATCATAACACATTTACAAAAACCGCAAATTCGTGATACAATCAGGGTAGGCACTCCTATGCTTGGGTTTGCCGCGGTTTAATAATACGGGTAAGAACAGATACTAGTATTGGGCGGTCTGGGTCCAATAAAGGATTCGGTTTCCCTGGATTCATTCCATTGTCGGATCCGTAACTCACGCCACAATCGATGACTTAACCAACAATTCTGTCATTTTGATATGTATTGTTTCCAGATTTACGGTAGATTGGTGATTTTAATACCACCACTTTTCCGTGGCACTCACATCATCATATTTATACTAAGTGACATATAAATCCGAACACCCTTTAAATGGTTTTATTTCAATAAAATTTTGTATAAGTAAGTAAATGATAAACATTTCAAAATGATTGCACTGCTTTAAAGCCCTTTGACCTTTAATAATGTGTGGATGCACCCTGATGTGCTACGCATTCTCCAACGCGCCTAGGCATGCTTCTGATAAGGTGGTCAATGTCCTCCTGTGGTATCTCATTCCAGGCAACCACCAACTCCTCTCGAAGTGCTTCTAGAGTCTGAGGAGGACGTTGCAAATTGAGCAATCTCCTAGCCATCATATCCCACACGTGCTCAATTGGGGATAAGTCGGGAGATCTTGGTGGCCATGGTAACAATGTGACATCATTATGTTGAAAGAAGTCTATTGTGACTCTTGCAACATGTGGCCGGGCATTATCTTGTTGGAAAGTTGGATCTGCCAGGGTGTCAAGATAGGGTAAAAGATGGGGTTCTAGAACCTCATGGATATAACGCTGCGCGTTCATGTTACCTCTGATGAAGACGAGTACGTTGGAGAAGCCTCTCCGTATATTGATGTCCACGATAGTAGGTCTGACATAGGGATTCATCAGGTCAATAGCTAGAAAATAGAATTGCTTGAAACTTTAAGGGACGGTCCAAGTGTTGCGTTACCAGATTATCAAATTATCAACCCTCCCTCCCCTTGTCAACAAATCCCTTACTTCCCCACTCCCATGTTTACGTGAAAATGTTTGTACATTTTACAATTTAAGGCAAGTATTGGCTTTCACGCATATGCTCTGAAAAACAATTGTTTAAAGTGTACATATTTAATCTAAAATCTTATCCAAATTACAGTGACGGTCTGTTGATGAGACAAAAATGTGAAAGAACGGCGATACCTATCTGTTAGACTACCAGTATCACTTGAGTGCATCATCCCTGACCAATATTTTTTGCGATATATCTAAGATAATGCAACATTATTGGTGGATATAGCGTATAGGTCATCCATAACAACCAATCGATGCATGGTCATTTAAGGGGGTTAACTCAATTCAATAAAATTCATATTTATTAGTGTCGCTTATGAGAAGCGCATCTAATAAAACTAACCTAATTCAATGATCGCGGCACGTAAATAAACAGTCTGAGAGCTTTCGGTTGAATGTTTTGACATACATCATTTGTTTGTTATCCATTTAGCGTCACCAGTCATTACAAAGCACAGTCGCTCGAGAAACAATCTCTCATTGAGAAGCAGTGGTATATTATTGCGAGTTACAAGAATAACATGTCTGATCGATTCGAAACTTTCAATAAGTTACAGCATCCAGGTCTCAGTGGGAAGCCACTTCGTAGTACAGTAGTATGGTACATACATTTAAAGAACGACATTGAGTTTCTAAGAAAAACTTTAGAATCTTAGTGTAGGCGTAGACGACTTCTAACATATTGATTATACTTTGAACC